ATCGGTTTTCTGGATTTGGTTTCAGTGACTTCAGTGAAATGCTGATGAGGAGGGGGAGGAGCCAAACTCATGACCTTTGATGGACATATGAAATACGCCGTTATCGTGGTCATAGTGACATCACACCGACTGTCAGCTGGTCAAACACTTTGGGTTTAACTGCAGCGAGAAAAGGATCCTGATTCATCTCTGGACCCACTACAGTGTGTGTGTGTGTGTGTGTGTGTGTGTGTGTGTGTGTGTGTGTGTGTGTGTGTGTGTGTGTGCGTGTGTGTGTGTGTGTGTGTGTGTGTACCTGGTCCAGAGTGGTCTGGGTGACGGAGTAGTCCTCGATGCGGAGCGTGTCCTTGTTCTTGGCGAGGATGGAGAAGATGTGGGTGAGGGAGGTGAGGGAGGAGGGCAGCTGGTACTGCAGCATGTTCCTGTGTTTCTCCTTCAGCGTGCTCCCGCTCAGCTCGCTCTCGATGAACTTCATGACGGGCAGAAGGTCGGGGTCGGGCCCCGCCACCCGCAGGATGATGGTGTACCCGTCACCGAACCTGACACACAAAACACACACACCTTTATACACACCTGTTAAACCGTTTTTCTCAGTCTCTTAAACTTCAGACTCACTCCGACAAACACGATAACTTTCTTCTCAAAAACACGTTTTCTTCAATATTCACTAACTCTTATTTCTAAATCAAACCTTCTTTCTCTGCTCACACTAACTTCACTGAAACTCTGTAAGTCTGAGAAAAACTCTTGTTTTCACTTCATCAGGTAAATACAGACGATCAAAGTTCACCAGGTTCAAAATACTGATTATTACTGACATGATAAAAACTACAGAGACTTTAATGTTTCAGTTTGACAGGAAAAACATGAAATTCACCGTTTTTACTCTAAATCTCTTCACTGGGAACTTTGTGTTCACATGAAATGTTCACATTTAAAATTATTACAGTAAAAAATAAATCAGTTTATTTTCCTTTTACTGTTTACTACAGGAGGAGAAACACTGTTTACTACAGGAGGAGAAACACTGTTTACTACAGGAGGAGAAACACTGTTTACTACAGGAGGAGAAACACTGTTTACTACAGGAGGAGAAACACTGTTTACTACAGGAGGAGAAACACTGTTTACTACAGGAGGTACAGGAGGAGAAACACTGTTTACTACAGGAGGTACAGGAGGAGAAACACTGTTTACTACAGGAGGTACAGGAGGAGAAACACTGTTTACTACAGGAGGAGAAACACTGTTTACTACAGGAGGTACAGGAGGAGAAACACTGTTTACTACAGGAGGAGAAACACTGTTTACTGCAGGAGGTACAGGAGGAGAAACACTGTTTACTACAGGAGGTACAGGAGGAGAAACACTGTTTACTACAGGAGGTACAGGAGGAGAAACACTGTTTACTACAGGAGGAGAAACACTGTTTACTACAGGAGGTACAGGAGGAGAAACACTGTTTACTGCAGGAGGTACAGGAGGAGAAACACTGTTTACTACAGGAGGTACAGGAGGAGAAACACTGTTTACTACAGGAGGTACAGGAGGAGAAACACTGTTTACTACAGGAGGTACAGGAGGAGAAACACTGTTTACTGCAGGAGGTACAGGAGGAGAAACACTGTTTACTACAGGAGGTACAGGAGGAGAAACACTGTTTACTACAGGAGGAGAAACACTGTTTACTGCAGGAGGTACAGGAGGAGAAACACTGTTTACTACAGGAGGTACAGGAGGAGAAACACTGTTTACTACAGGAGGTACAGGAGGAGAAACACTGTTTACTACAGGAGGAGAAACACTGTTTACTACAGGAGGTACAGGAGGAGAAACACTGTTTACTACAGGAGGTACAGGAGGAGAAACACTGTTTACTACAGGAGGTACAGGAGGAGAAACACTGTTTACTACAGGAGGTACAGGAGGAGAAACACTGTTTACTACAGGAGGTACAGGAGGAGAAACACTGTTTACTGCAGGAGGTACAGGAGGAGAAACACTGTTTACTACAGGAGGTACAGGAGGAGAAACACTGTTTACTACAGGAGGAGAAACACTGTTTACTACAGGAGGTACAGGAGGAGAAACTCTGTTTACTACAGGAGGAGAAACACTGTTTACTACAGGAGGTACAGGAGGAGAAACACTGTTTACTACAGGAGGTACAGGAGGAGAAACTCTGTTTACTCCTTAATAACAGAGAAAGTTTGACAGTGTTGTTTACAGTGAACTAAACCTCCTGCTCCTCTCACTGCTCTCCTCCCTCGGCCCCTCGCTCTTCCTCTTCCTCTTCCTCTTCCTCTTCCTCTTCCTCGTTCAGACACTTCAGCGTTTGTCTTCTTCTGTCCGTCTCTCCTCACACTCCTCCTTTTAACCTTTGAACTCTGAGTCTCAGTCAGACCAGAATCAGCTGTTTTATCACCAGTTGACCCGACATAAACCATCTGTGTGTCGATGATTCAGTTGTTAGTTTCTGATCAGATTGATTGATTGATTTTGATCTGGTCTCATTACAGCAGCAGAGGTTTTTATTCTGTATCTGAGGTTTAGAATATTGTTATTATGGGATGTTGTGAGTTAACATTCATAAATAAAACAAAAATCATCGTTTTGTTGGGAGGAAGTTTTGTGTAAATGTGTTCACTGACTGGATATTGAGTGAAACGACATGAAGAGTGAACGGTAAACAGACCGATGCTGTGAGAGTTTAGAGTTTAGAGTTCAGGACAACAAAAAACTATAATATGAACCTCCAAACAACTCAGTGGGACTGTGTCGCCCCCCAGTGGTCACCACACACACTTCAGGTGTTTTTAGAGGTGACACGTTCTTGTCTTTATAATTCAGACATTTTAAAAACTGTTTCATGAACATCAGGACAGATGGACGACTGGACTTAGCTGACAAAGAACTAGAAATCCTAGATGCTGAATCACTTCAAAAGTTCATCACTGCATCTACTAAAGAGTTTCAGACTGGACCATGAAAAGAGGATCTCATATAAATGAGAAACTGGACTGATGTGGTCCTGACCTGCCCCCCTTTTAGATACATTTGGAGCATCATGACCCCCAAAACCAGGACCACGGAGACCCTGAACTGTGGAGCGGCTAAAACCAAACAGGTCTGTGTCGGTCTCACCTGTTCTTCAGGTGTTGGACGCTGCCGAGACACCTGAACCTGCCGTTCACCATGATGGCCATCCTGGTACACAGAGCCTCACACTCCTCCATGCTGACACACACACACACACACACACACACACACACACACACACACACACACACACACACACATTAGATGTTTTTCAAAATAAAGTGAGGATGTACTGGAGGACGGGTGAGAGGACGGCGTCTCTCTTACCTGTGCGAGGTGAGGACGACGGAGCGTCCCTCCTTGATGACGCTGTGGATGCAGTTCCAGAGGGCGCGGCGAGCTTTGGGGTCCATGCCGGTGGTCGGCTCGTCCTGTAACGAGGAGGACAGCCAGGTTGAGGTTGGCCCACAGGTGGAGCAGGAAGCAGAGGGAGAAGGTGAGGAGGAGGGGGAGGAGGTGCATCCCTGCGTCCTCTCTCACACAAACAACTCTTCTTTTTCTTCTTCTTCTATGGTTTGACCTCCTAACCTGTTTTCTTCTTCGTCTGTTTGTCTCATAAATGCAGCGGCTCCGTCTAATCCTGCTCCGTTATACAACCCCGTCCGTCCCCCCTCAGGACCCCTCTCCTAAATCCAACCTCAGCTGCTCTCTGATTGGCTGAGCTGAGCCCTGATAATGTTGTGTAACTGTAAACATACAGCTGGAGAGGAAAACTTAACTCTGTGTGAACACGCTGCGTGTGTGTGTGTGTGTGTGTGTGTGTGTGTGTGTGTGTGTGTGTGTTACCAGGAAGACGACAGGTGGCGCTCCAATCAGAGCCATGGCTGTAGAGAGCTTCCTCAGGTTTCCTCCGCTGTAACTTCCTGCTTTCTTATCGGCGTACTTCACCAGACCGAGCTTCCTGATCCCCCACTCAGCCACCTGTCAATCACACATCATCATCATCATCATCATCATCATCGTCATCATCATCATCGTCATCCTCATCATCATCATCATCATCATCATCGTCATCATCATCCTCATCCTCATCATCATCATCATCCTCATCCTCATCATCATCATCCTCATCATCATCATCGTCATCCTCATCATCATCATCCTCATCATCATCATTGTCATCCTCATCATCATCATCGTCATCATCATCATCATCATCCTCATCCTCATCCTCATCATCATCATCATCATCATCATCCTCATCATCATCCTCATCATCATCATCCTCATCATCATCATTGTCATCCTCATCATCATCATCGTCATCATCATCATCATCATCCTCATCATCATCATCATCATCATCATCCTCATCATCATCCTCATCATCATCATCCTCATCATCATCATCATCATCATCCTCATCATTATCCTCATCCTCATCATCATCATCCTCATCATCATCATCATCCTCATCCTCATCATCATCATTTCTGTAACTTATCATGACTCTCATTGTTCCCTCTCTAACTCACATCTTCACAGGATGATCTCACAGTGTGTGTGTGTGTGTGTGTGTGTGTGTGTGTGTGTGTGTGTGTGTGTGTGTGTGTGTGTGTGTGTGTGTGTGTTGAAGGTCTGACTTACGTCACACACTTCCTTCTCAGGGACTCCTCTCAGAATGGCGTACAGCTCCAGGTGTTCTCTTCCTGTCAGCAGGTCGTTGATGGAGTCAAACTGAGGACAGTAACCCATGTTCTGATGGACCTCATCGATCTCCCTCAGGATGCTGCACACACACACACACACACACACACACACACACACACACACAGACACACACACACAGAGGAGGATAACAGACAGTGAGTATGGATGAACCCTGTACATGTCAGTGTGTTCAGTCTTTGTGCATCTCTGTAGGTCTCTGTAGGTCTTTGTAGGTCTCTGTAGGTCTCTGTAGGTCTCTGTGGGTCTCTGTAGGTCTTTGTAGGTCTTTGTGGGTCTCTGTAGGTCTCTGTAGGTCTTTGTAGGTCTTTGTGGGTCTCTGTAGGTCTCTGTAGGTCTTTGTAGGTCTTTGTGGGTCTCTGTAGGTCTCTGTAGGTCTTTGTGGGTCTCTGTAGGTCTCTGTAGGTCTTTGTGGGTCTCTGTAGGTCTTTGTAGGTCTCTGTAGGTCTTTGTGAGTCTCTGTAGGTCTCTGTAGGTCTCTGTAGGTCTCTGTAGGTCTTTGTGGGTCTCTGTAGGTCTTTGTGGGTCTCTGTAGGTCTCTGTAGGTCTTTGTGGGTCTCTGTAGGTCTTTGTAGGTCTTTGTGGGTCTCTGTAGGTCTTTGTGGGTCTCTGTAGGTCTCTGTAGGTCTCTGTAGGTCTTTGTGAGTCTCTGTAGGTCTCTGTAGATCTCTGTAGGTCTCTGTAGGTCTTTGTGGGTCTCTGTAGGTCTTTGTAGGTCTTTGTGGGTCTCTGTAGGTGTTTGTGGGTCTCTGTAAGTCTTTGTAGGTCTTTGTGGGTCTCTGTAGGTCTCTGTAGATCTCTGTAGGTCTTTGTGGGTCTCTGTAGGTCTCTGTAGGTCTCTGTAGGTCTCTGTAGGTCTTTGTGGGTCTCTGTGAGTTTTCTACAGGAATAATCTGAACCCTCAGACACAGAGGACTCCTTGGACCGCTTCAGTGAGTGTGGCGGCCCTGCAGGGTCCCTGAGCCCAGGTTGAGCCCCTCCTGTGCTGTGAGATTAGAGGATGTCGAAACACCTCTCTGTGTTTAATTTGGACTAATGAGATTAACGAGGAGGAAACCAGAGCAGCAGCAGCTGAGCTCGGATTAAACCCCGTCACAGTGAACCGCAGGACCCGCACCAGCTGATCCGGGTTCATCCTGTCATCTGTGAGAGGGTGAGGGTCAGTGTGAGGGTGAGGGTGAGGGGTGAGGGTGAGGGTGAGGGTCAGTGTGAGGGTGAGGGGTGAGGGTGAGGGGTGAGGGTCAGTGTGGGGGTGAGGGTGAGGGTCAGTGTGAGGGTGAGGGTCAGTGTGAGGGTGAGGGTGAGGGGTGAGGGTGAGGGTCAGTGTGAGGGTGAGGGTGAGGGTGAGGGTCAGTGTGAGGGTGAGTGTGAGGGTGAGGGTCAGTGTGAGGGTGAGGGTGAGGGTGAGGGTCAGTGTGAGGGTGAGGGGTGAGGGTGAGGGTCAGTGTGAGGGTGAGGGTGAGGGTGAGGGTGAGGGTCAGTGTGAGGGTGAGGGGTGAGGGTGAGGGTCAGTGTGAGGGTGAGGGGTGAGGGTGAGTGTCAGGGTGAGGGTGAGGGTGAGGGGTGAGGGTCAGTGTGAGGGTTAGGGTGAGGGTGAGATTTAATCCAGGAGCAGGTCTGACTTTCATTTAATCTGTGAATCAAACAGGATTACAGCGGCGACACTGTCATCCAAGAGACGGTGTCCTTCAGTCTGTGAAAGGTCAGAGGTCGAATAGATCGAATATTCCTGAGTGTCTGACCCGGTCTGACCCGGTCTGACCCGGTCTGACCCGGTCCGACTGTTTTGGTCTGGGCTCACAGAACTCAAAGTTCTAATCCTCAGAGTTAATCTGTTCAGCAGCACAAACAGGTCAGAGAGGGACGGTAGGGGAAGGTCCCGTCCTCCTTCACCTCTGATTGGCTCAGAGTGCTGGGCTCTGATTGGTTATTCCTGATGCCTGTGAAACGTCGTAGTCTGTCGGGTTATCAGATCTAGAATTACGATCATGTTCTGTTTGATGTTCAGAGCCGACCGCCGGCGCTCAGCTTGAGCGTGTGACGACGTTTCACAGCCAATCAGAGGCGAAGGAGGCGGGACCTTCCCCTACCATCCTTCAAAAAAAAAAATATCGCGAGAGGGAAGCCCACCTGACCTCCACAGACAGTCAGGTGACCTCTGACCTCTGAGCTCACCTCTTCCCGTTGAGGAAGGCCTCCCCGCTGGTCACCATGGTGTCACCTGTCAGCATCTTGAAGGTGGTCGTCTTTCCCGCCCCGTTCACGCCGAGCAGCCCGAAACACTGAGCACAGAAACAGGGTTAGACCTCCCACCTGATCAGAGTCTGATTATTGATTATTGATCAGCTGATCAGGCTCACCTCTCCGGGGGGAATCCCCACACACAGACGGTCCACCGCAGGTTTCTGCTTCCTCTTAAACACCTGAAAAAAAAACAAAGTTCACCCGATCATCGGCCATTTCCTGTGATGTCACTGTGGCTCCGCCCCCATGGGTGAGTGTGTTGTTATTGTGTATCTGCAGGTGTGGTACCTTGGTGAGCTGTCGGAGCTCCAGGATGTCCCCATGTCCCAGACCGTGGACGATCCTCTGCCTCTCTCGGGCCACGTCCTCGTCCTCCTCGCCCAGAGGAGCCAGTTTAGTCAGTGTGCTGACCGGCCTGAACACACAGAGATTTAGATTTAAAGACAGGGCTTTTATTTTGAAGGGATCAGAGTTTCCTGCAGCTCAAGATGGTGAACAAAGAGTTTAAGCTATAGATCTGCCTGACCAAGAAAAAAATGATGTTGACAAAAAAAGAAGTCCTAAAAACTGCAGTTCCATGAGTGTCCACCAGGGGCATGTCCCAAAGTGAGTCAGTCCCCATAGAGCCCCATGTTTAACCTCCCACTGTAACAAACAGCCTGGAACAGTTTTAGCCCCAATTTTCACCGCATCAGGAAAATCGAGATTGGGTGTGACACTCTTTTGGAAAGGACTGTCCTTTAAACGAAGATCTGGAAATCATAGATGCTGCATCCTCAGTTTTAGACAGTTAACTTGAATGGTTACGATCAGCTACGATTGAAGGATACGACCTTTTAGGAGACGATCAGGATGAAGGTGGAGATCGGGGGTAAGAACAAGTCTGGTGGACCCTCTACTCTTTAAAACTGAGGATGCAGCATCTATGATTTCCAGTTCTTCGTTGAAAGGACAACTGGACCGGTCTTGGTGACTGTGGGACTCGTACCTGGGTTTGATGCAGAACCTGTACTGGATGAGGAGTGTGATGATGAAGAAGACCACGCCCTCCACCGCCATGGCAAACAGGTTTTTTCCCACCATGTCCCACTCCAGAGGGGAGCGGAACCTGTTCTCGCCTTTCAAAATAAAACAAGAGTTCATCAGGTGAAGTTCAAAGAAAGAAACAACGAGGTGTCTCAGGAGCAGAGCATCATGGGAAACGTGTCCATACCGAATCTCTCCAGGGCGTCGGCCATGGCCTGGTTCTTCACCATGTCTATGAGACCTCGACCCAGACAGAAGTGAGGGAAGATGAGCAGGACGTTCTTCAGGATGTCGTTGATTCCTCCGATCTCCTACAGACAGGAAGTGTCACCACACCATCAATTTTTAATTTCAGTTACACTCTGAGATTAGAACAGAGTCTCCATGGCAACTCACATTGTTCCCAAAGAGTTCCATGACGAAGGTGGAGATGCTGCCGTTGATGCCGATGAGGATGTTGACGCTCGTGAGGACGACGTACGCCGTGCTTGGGATCGTGAAGAAGAAAGAGGCGGGGTACATCAGCGGCGTGATGGACCAGCTGGAGACGACAACGACGACAAACAACAACAAACATCAACAACAACAACAACAACAACAACAACGCAAATTAACAAACAGACAGATTGAAGTTTTGTAGTTCAGTGTTTTAGCTTTGCAGTAAAGTAGTTTTGTAGTTCTGTGTTGTAGTTTTGTTGGTGTTGTTCTTTGGTGCTGTAGTTTTCTATTATTGTAGTTTTGCAGTAAAGTAGTTTTGTAGTTCGGTGTTGTGGTTTTGTTGGTGTTGTAGTTTTGTTGGTGTTTTAGTTTTTGTTGTTGCTGTAGTTTTGCAGTAAAGTAGTTATGTTGTTTTTGTAGTTCATTGTTGTAGTTTTGTTGTTGTTGTAGTTTAGTGTTGTAGTTTTCTATTATTGTAGTTTTGCAGTAAAGTAGTTTTGTAGTTAAGTGTTGTAGTTTTGTTGTTGTTGTAGTTTAGTGTTGTAGTTTTCTATTATTGTAGTTTTGCAGTGAAGTAGTTTTGTAGTTCTGTATTATTGTAGTTTTGTATTTTTTTGTCTCCGTACCCGTAGAGCAGCAGGAGGAGGGCGAGCACCGGCAGGTTGGTCGCGGACACGTAGGCCTTTTGTTGGAAACAGACGAAGATGAGGATGACGAGCGTTGCCGGGACGATGTAGTTACACTGCAAACACACACACACATAAACACACAGTAAATACACAATGATCACAGAGAGACTCCGCCCTGCCGACGGGTGTGTTTGATTCGTGTCTCACCATGTCCCAGATGTAGTTGGCGATCCAGTAGAGCAGCGGCTGCACGCCGCTGATGAAGTGCATGTGTTTGGTTTTACTGACGCGCTCCTGAATCAGGAAGACGACAAAACTCGCAGGGACGAAGGACATCGCAAAGATCACACAGATGGACACCAGGACGTCCACTGAGGTCGTTACCCTGGAAACACAGGACGGGGGAGGAGTCAGAAACTCTGGGGTGAAGTGGTTTCAGGAGGTTCTGGTTCAGGTCTGCGTACTCACAGGGCGACCTGCGACAGCTGCTCCTTGGTCAGGTTGAGCGGGTGGTTGTGGGCGGAGATTCCGTACTTGCTGGGGTCTTCACCTGGGGGCAGGTGAGCTCTGAGGATGGCGTTATTCATCACGTTGATGAACGCTCCGATACTGTGCCAGCCTTTGTTATTGAACCACACCTGAGCACAGGTAGACGACAGTCAGACCCGTGACCTTCAAAGTGACCTTCAAAGTTTGAGAGTTTGGGTTTGTGTCAGCTGTTCCTCACCTTCACGTTGTTCTTCGTGTCCAAACCGTTGATGAAACCCGACAGATTGTCCAGGAACCGATCTGCAGCCGCTCCCTAAAACAACACAAAACCCAGGGTCAGTTACTGACCATCAGCTGCTCTGTGATTGGCTGATGACAATCTGTGTCTGAGATGTTATATTTCTGACAGATGTCTCACACTCTCTCACCTTCTGGAGCTCAAAGATCTTCCTCACTCGCTCGATTGCGTCGTCGATCTCTTTAGCGGGAGGGAGGACCTGAGTGCTCCTGGCGCCCAATGAGAATCCTCCGTACCTGCAGAGAAAAAAACACATGTTAGACAGGAAATAGAGCAGGACTTTCAGAATAAAAGCAGAAAAATATGAGAACTGACCTGAATTCATTCACCCAGACTTTGTTCTTCAGGCTGAAACAGAAGAAATAAATCAACGATTGAGTACCTCTGTGTACTTGTACTGCAGTAAATGTGTGTACTTGTACTGCAGTACCTCTGTGTACTTGTACTGCAGTACCTCTGTGTACTTGTACTGCAGTACCTCTGTGTACTTGTACTGCAGTTCCTCTGTGTACTTGTACTGCAGTAAATGTGTGTACTTGTACTGCAGTAAATGTGTGTACTTGTACTGCAGTACCTCTGTGTACTTGTACCGCAGTACCTCTGTATCCTTGTACTGCAGTAAATGTGTGTACTTGTACTGCAGTAAATGTGTGTACTTGTACTGCAGTACCTCTGTGTACTTGTACTGCAGTAAATGTGTGTACTTGTACTGCAGTACCTCTGTGTACTTGTACTGCAGTAAATGTGTGTACTTGTACTGCAGTAAATGTGTGTACTTGTACTGCAGTAAATGTGTGTACTTGTACTGCAGTACCTCTGTGTACTTGTACTGCAGTAAATGTGTGTACTTGTACTGCAGTACCTCTGTGTACTTGTACTGCAGTACCTCTGTATCCTTGTACTGCAGTAAATGTGTGTACTTGTACTGCAGTAAATGTGTGTACTTGTACTGCAGTACCTCTGTGTACTTGTACTGCAGTACCTCTGTGTACTTGTACTGCAGTACCTCTGTGTACTTGTACTGCAGTACCTCTGTATCCTTGTACTGCAGTAAATGTGTGTACTTGTACTGCAGTAAATGTGTGTACTTGTACTGCAGTACCTCTGTGTACTTGTACCGCAGTACCTCTGTATCCTTGTACTGCAGTAAATGTGTGTACTTGTACTGCAGTAAATGTGTGTACTTGTACTGCAGTACCTCTGTGTACTTGTACTGCAGTAAATGTGTGTTCTTGTACTGCAGTAAATGTGTGTACTTGTACTGCAGTACCTCTGTGTACTTGTACTGCAGTAAATGTGTGTACTTGTACTGCAGTAAATGTGTGTACTTGTACTGCAGTAAATGTGTGTACTTGTACTGCAGTACCTCTGTGTACTTGTACTGCAGTAAATGTGTGTACTTGTACTGCAGTACCTCTGTGTACTTGTACTGCAGTACCTCTGTATCCTTGTACTGCAGTAAATGTGTGTACTTGTACTGCAGTAAATGTGTGTACTTGTACTGCAGTACCTCTGTGTACTTGTACTGCAGTACCTCTGTGTACTTGTACTGCAGTACCTCTGTGTACTTGTACTGCCTCACCTCTTGCCGATGATCTGAGCGTACGTTTTCACCAGGTAGTCGGAGATGTTCCGTCCGGTCAGGTTCTGCAGAGCGTCGGTGGCGCTCAGCTTCATCTGAACACAAACACACACACTGTAAATACACACACCTGACACACACCTGCACAGAGGAGTCCAGGTGTGTCAGCTGACTGACCTCAGGGGGGGGCAGTCCTCCGGCGCCGGCGGGACACTCGGGCAGCATCTTCTTCTTCCCGTCGCAGGAGCAGAAACAGGCCGGAGACGGGTCGTCCATGGTCCAGTTTCTGGAGCTGAAGAGCTGCTGGACGCTTTCAGGGACGTCAGGGTAGATCCAGTCCTCATCCCCCATCGTACAGGGGGCGTCTCTGAGGGAGGGGGCGGGGCAACAATGATCATTAACCACACCTGTGACTGATAAACGCTGGACGGGGTCGCGTCGCTCATCGTTCTGATCTGACGTTACATCCAAACAAACACACAATGTGACTCTCTACAGCCAATCAGAGCCCTGCATTCTCTCAGAGGGTAAAGGTGAAAACACAGGTGTCTTACGGGATGGAGTATCCGTCCATACAGCGAGTCCCGAAGCCCGGAGGATCGAGGAGCGTGTTCAGTAACCTCTGCATGTTGGCGTCTGAGGGGGCGTCATCGCTGCCGCACAAACACAAACACACGTGAGTGTAACAGCTGAGCGCGTGCTCAGTACAGCGCACGGACACAGGTGAGCACAGGGGTGTACCTGATGAAGGTGACCTGGTCTTCGTACATCCAGGGCTGCAGCTCCAGACTCGGGTACTTTCCAAACGGCGGGACGATGAGACTGAAGACCAGAGCGATGCACACGAACACGGCGGGGAGAACGATCTGAAACACAGACACGACCAGGTGAGACCCCAACCCGCAGGAAACAGCTGACATCAGAGGAGCACAGGTGTGAGCGTACCTGAGCGAAGAAGCCTTTCCGGGAGCGCCGAGCGTACAGGAAACGTTTCCACATCAGCGCCACGAACTGCTGCCGCCGCAGG